GCCTATTACGTAGGTTTGAGGGACAATATAAGTACATGCATGTACAACAAAGAACACGGGTGAAGGCTTTAATTCGTATTACTTACTTTCGAATACAGCGCATGTGCAAGGAATGGTAGTTTACGAAGAGTTCGACCACTTAGTTGATAACTTTTCTAAACAAGAAAATGAGAGAAAGAATACTTCGTAGGTTTATCACAGTGAGACGCTTGACTGCTCCTTGCAAGTTCAAAGGAGAAGGGCCTCCCAAAGAAACCTAACCAAAAGTCAACCAATATTCGTGATTATTTGAGAGTGGTCCATTACTTGATAACTACTGACTACGATAACAAAGAAAAAACATCTTTACGCCTTAAATGTAGATGTAATACAAAGTTAAATTTTATTTATGTTGCAAGTATTAAGACGGTATATTTTAAACCTCAGTCCTAAATTATTTGAGAACTCATCTGAACATGCACAAACAACTCAACAAACTGTTCGAGTTTACAATCATGGCAATGACAAACAGAACAAGCTTGCATCCTTCTGTGGTTCACTTGGTCACATATTGGGAAATCATAAATTTCAATCATAATGAGAAATTTAGTCATTTAACAAATTTTTCATATTCATAGTGATGGCAACAACAAGCTGGACCTATTTTCATCACTTACTGAGTAATTAATCGCTTGGTCACAAAAATATAAGAAGATCATCTGAGCATGCGCAGTGCTTGGGCATGCGCACGCTCAAGCATGCAAAGTCCACTTGACCAATTGTCCGAGTTGATAGTCATGGAAACGACCAACTACATTTACTAGCATCAATTAGGGAGTATATAACTTGCTTATTAACAAACTATTAAAGATATCAACTGAGCATGCGCAGTTAAATTGATTGGCTGCCAATGTTCATGGTCATGGCAACGACCAATTGCATCTACTAGCCCCGATTTTGAAGTAAATAGCATGTTTAGTAACAATTTAATGGAGAAATCATCTGCGCATGCGCTCGAGCATTCGCAGCCCACTCGACTAATTGTTTATAGTCATGGCAACGACTAACTAGATGTACTTGCACTACATCTGTGGCAATTATCCCACTTAATCGCAAATTATCAAAGAAATTATCTGGGCATGCGCAGTTGTGACTTTAATAATACCACAAATTTCGTAAGCCTCTAAATTTTGTATATATAAATATAAATCTATAGCTTCATATAGTAGATGTCAACTAGCAGTGGAAGCTGGGTGCGATATAGTATGCAGTGGCTTAGGGTCCACACTTCGGTGGCGACCGCACTCTCCTGCGTACCCCGAGCAAAGCCTATCGCAGGTGATCTCGGGTCTGATGGGCGGAAGCTTGCTATTGCATCTCCCAAGTAGGATAGCGTGGAGGGGCCGAAATCTGCTACCGAAACGTTAACATGCCGCGTTTTAGTGCCTTACGCTTAAGAAGGTATCGGGAAGCATGGACCGAAAACAGGGTTTTCCTTTCAAAATTTGTCTTTTTCTTTACAAGAATTCTTCTCATAAAAGAAACTAGAACATACTGCCAGGGTTCAGACAACTTCTGAAAATCCCGGGCGTAGTTTCGTTTTCTTTGTAAAACGAGAAGAATACTAACTTGAAAACATGAAGACTGGGTGACATAATATTTACCATAAACTAAGACAAGAAATGTTTATTTTACTCTGTGACATCACTTTACTTTAAAGTGAAAGGTTTGAACATGGGAGTATCGTTACATGTTTGTAGATGTAGATCGTCCAGGTTAGTAAAGTCCTGAAAAGAACTGTTGTTGTTGATGCTGACTCTAAAGATGACTACCGCTAAGGTTGTTAAGAAGTCAGTCAACATCAACATCAACAGTCCTTCGCAGGACACCACTAACCTCGACGATCTACATCTACAAACATCTACTTCACTTACTCGGCTATCTTCTTTAATTCAAGACTACAGTGTGTTACATCGTTGTCGACAAAGCTACAATGGAAAATAGGGAAAAAAAGTTGTACATCGGAAAAGAAAACCATGTCATCAACATAGAAGTGAACAAAAAAATTTCTAACAAACACCGTCAATTTTCGTCAAAATAAAATTTCGTGTATTTTTCAGTTGTACCTTAAATCCAAAATTTGAGTGGCTGGTGATATGATACTGGTCTGTGATGAAACGGTGAACATTAATTTTGATTATTAAAAATTATCTACAATGCAATCGTTTGCAATCAATTTCTATATAGCTGCACACCTCTCTATTTAAGCAACATGTTTGTATAACTTGCACAAACGACTATATTGTGGTATGGAAATAAAGCAGTAGACGTAAAGGTACAAAGTACTGAGAAGAGGGATATACTTCACGAGGCAAATTGTTGTTTTATATTGTATATGATGACAGGTTGCGGTAAGCCATTTCGGCGTTCCTTTGGCCAGAAAACATAATTGACCGGCAGCCATTTCGTTGATCACGTGCACAAGAAGACATAAGTTACATACAAACAAATAGTGTTTCAACTATATTTTGTTAAAAACATTGAGTTCCTTGATGCAAGAATGGTAAATTTTGTAAATAGCTTTGGCTGATGGCGGACCAATATACTGTTTGATGTCGGCTCTGTGGGCGAACAAATAGCGAAGTTAGATGAGAAAGTGAATTAAAAACTTTCGAGTCACAAACATATTTTCAACCTGTCCACGAACGCAACGTCTATGGCTCTAGTTATGTTCGATGTTGTCAATATAATTACATTAGGATGTCTGAAATAAGAAGAAAACAACATTGGGGAAGACTAGGTTTAGCAAATAAACGCATAAATGTAGTTCAAATCAAGACTTCTGTAAATACGTAATTGATAGATAATAAGTATTTGACTGAGCAAAGTTGTCATCAAGCAAGTTTGTTCATGTCATATAAATATTTTCGTGCTTTTACTCCTGTAAAAGCGACAACATTGTAGAGAAAGAAATAATACATAGTTCTAAAGATAGCAAATACCATAGTGAATGGTAAATGTAATATAATAAGTTGATAAAGACTGTTGTCTTGGCATTATAAATATCGGTAGATTGTAAATTTTCATTCAGCAGACGTTGACACCTGAGGAGTAGTCTGCCGAAATGCATCGTGTCGTTTAATTTAGAACTATTGGGTTAGTGCTCTTTACTTACAACAGTTCTTGTAAGAACTATCAACTTATTATATTACTTTTACCATTTACTATGGTATTTGCTATCTTTAGAACTATTTTCTACAAAGTCTCTATTTTATTAAATAATACATAACGCAACAACCCTGCCGGCTGGCCTCGCCGTTCATATAACCGAATACAATCTCTTAGTTCACTAAAAAATCCATGAGAACGCAATGTTCGCCGAAATGCATATTCTGCTTATATTTTGCATTTACAGTTTTATATGGTCAATTTGAGTGAGAAATGCATTCACAACACGAATGGCATCTGAAGGTTCTTGTCCGTTCAACGCAGATTTTCTTGCCGATGTTAAACTTTCAACCTTCAGAAGTAAAAGATATGGATAGCAAAGGTATTTTCCTTAAACATTACCGACAAGCGTACATGTGCTTCGGGTATTTTGTGAAACAAGAAACACAAATAGTAAATGATTTCTCATCTATCTGACCATGAGCATTAAGAAAGAAATGTTTAAGCAAAGTTTACCTCGTCGATAAGAACGCAAACTAAAGCTTATTTGTCGTCAATAAACTCTTGAATTTTCTGAAACATTTTCATCATTAACTTTCCACTCTGTTTGTAGGGAAAGATAATGTCAATGTACATTTTAAATTACAGATGCTATTTTTAATTGGATATGATCATTTTGTGATACGGAACTAGATTTATTAACTTCAACGACATCTCAATCCCAGGTATATAAATGTCAGTTTTCTGAACTGATATTTTGATGTGAGCCGTGCATTTTATATTGACAGGGGGTGACGACAAAGGTTTCACGGAAAATTTATGGCAATGTAATTTTTGGTTCCAGAGGATTTTCGCACTCGGTGATGTTGCTTTGAGCTATTCAAAATGATGCCTACCTCGGAAAATAAACTGTGAATGTTTATTTCAATAAGCTGGCCATAGTTAAATCTAAGGATTCAAAAGTAGAAACACACTTTAATTTATAGTTCATAATCCTTAGGTAGACGACAATTTCATTAAAACAAAGTAAAGATAATGCCAAAAGAACATCTTGTAAACTTAAATAAAAGTTACAAAGCAAAACAATTGAAAGTGTAATATTTACATTTTAATCGTCTTGTTTTCTAAATTTGATGTTGAGTTTACAACATGTCTTTTCGGATTATACTTTGTATTTATAATTCACGACATAACAATAAAATTACGTGGCAATATTAGTTGCAGTACACACATGGATAGTAATGGATTGCGATTTACGTAACATCAAAATAAAATGTAGTGTTTTACCTTTTAGAAAGTCGTATGGATAATTTTGAGCAAGCGCCTTGCATAAGGATGTTTCACCAGTACCGGTTGGCTCTGTGAAAGTTTTAAAGAAAAGCTCAACTCATTCTTCTGGATATTTGCAGTAGATCACGTGAAGACAAACATGATGTACTATGAGTGGTAAATGCTGGTGTTTGATTGGCTTCGTTGTTTGTTTTCGAGTGACGTCACAGCGGTACACAAACATGGTAGCCTTGACGTCATTTAATAGTTGGCTCGTTAAAACACCATCACGTCTCTCGCGTTTCATTCTATCTGATTGTAGCTAACTTATTCTTATCAATACTTTGATATGTGATTTTTCAATCTTGAATGTTATGAGTGATAAGAGATTTACTCCGTTAAGATGAGAGTTGTTACAAAGTCAACACACGCAAAAATAGAATCTAATTTGATTCGTAAAAAGATACACGTGACGGACGATGACGCAAGGACTCACGTCTGGTTACCAAGGAAACTAACTTACCATGTAATAAGGTAACTTTATTTCACGAGATGATGTTGAAATCCACGCCTCTAAAATATGATTCAAACACGTGACTAATATATACTTTGAAAATGTCATTGTTTGGGAGTGATTTTAAAAAGATGGAGTTCTTCAAGTTCTTCATATCCATGCCCCCCATCATGAAGTTGATAGACATGATACTTTAGCATAACTTTTTTCAAATCAATTATCTGTTAAAAGAATTATGAAGGTTTGACAGAAATATGTACTTCATGTAAATCTTCATTATCAAACTAAGTCAATCCTCTAGGAGTTCTTGCATTTTCTTTTCCGTGGGGGTTCAACAAAAAGGGATGTGTGACATACCAGGGGTGTGAACAACCTACTCTCACACATGAAAGTAAATATTGTCTGATCATAGGGTCAATAACCTTGCCATATGTTGAAAAATTATCTGTGTCATACACAATAGTTATGCTCTTGACATGTTCCATTAAAAAGGATCAACAAATTCTACGAAACATGAGTCGCCATGAATTGTTTTCATGTTGATAAGAAAGTCTTTGACAAGCTTTATAATTCTATACTCTGGGATAGTGCTAAAATAAAGTGGTAAATACTATTAAGATGTTAATGCTTATTATCAAATTGAATAAATGGTTTTGTTCACGTTTTGACAGCACAGTGGTATTTGAAGAAGTGAGTCTGTTGAAGCACAACATATGACCAGTGACGTCAATCTAGTAACATATTAAAATTATTCAAGTTTCTTTACAAAACAAAACATGATTTGTTCATTACCTAGTTTCACCTGTAGCATGGTTTCACTAACACAGACTCACTCAACTAGATTATTACATGAAATGCAATTCAATATCCTTCTGCATACAGTCCTTTGTTCATATTATGAACTAACCTTTCTTTGCATTCATTTACTTCGACGTTTAAGAATGGCTGACTTGGTAAAGGCAGTGCTTCAGAAAGTTCTTGAACTTTATCCATTTTAACGATATTGCTTTAGTTAGAGATGTTATACAAAAGATTATTCACAATATTGGCTGTGTAGGAAAAAACTTAAATATCTTTGCTATGTAGAAATAAAAATAAATATCGTTTCAATTTCCCGCTATGAAACTCAAAGTCAGACTCAGGCATAACAATAACATATATATCTATTACCTTGTTTCAGCTTTCAAAAAAAACTTTATATGTTCTTTAAAATATTATTTGTCTTTCACTCTTTTACAACAGATATGTGGAGAGAAATATTCTTGCGGAGAACGAATGCTTGTGAGGTTTAAAATTAAAAATTGTTATGTTGTTTTCTTGGAAGACGATATATAACTTTTACATGAAGTAGTTAACATGATAACGATGGTCAAATGTGGTCTTATTTCTAAGGAAATTTCTCAGAAAAGAATGGCCTATTTGAAGGAAATTTCTGGAAATTTCTCAAAAAATTAATTGTTTGGACAAATTCTTGGGCAATTCTTAAATTTTACAAATTTATATACACGCTTTTAATCGTGCTTGTTTTACAATATTTACAGTTGAGTCATTTTGGAAAACTGTATAAAACAAGATGAAGCATATGAAGTAAGAACAGAAGACTTTGTTACAACGATTCCGTCATTGTAGCAAACATATCCTAGAGCTTAATCTGAGGGGTGATGGCTCACCTGTATCACCATAGGATGCTTCTTGACATACGGTACACTGATAATACGTCAATCATCCCCAAAATAACTGAATAAAACCAACGTAATCCCTTCTCGTATAGAACGTCCTGTTCAAATCCAGCCAATCCAACTGTCTGAACAAAGCAATAATTTTTTTCATGAACTGTTTGAATAGAATATATCTATTTTGAATGTTGTGTCAAGTGTCAATAAAGTGTTAAAGAAAACAATAAGCAAAAGTTGGAACATTAACGTCTACGTAATCACAAGCATAAGCAACGAGCGTGCTTATGACTCTCTCGAGGGTTTACAGAAAAACATCAAAAATCATATTCTTCTTTTCAATATTTTATACTTCTTTCAGCTTAGGAAACAACATAAAAATAACACCACGCTTTTATGGGCAAATTTATTCCTAAAGCTCCTCCCACCCACTCAAAAGAGCGAAGTTACACCATTACACAGGCTTAAGGAAATGTGTTAGGCATTAGCTGAAAGAAGAACACAAAAGAACAAGAGAAAACGAAAGAAGATTTCCATGTCTTTCTGTGTAAACTCTGAAGAGAAAAAGAAATAAAGTTTTATCGTTTATGCTTATTCTATTCGTATGTACCATGCATTCAATTTTGTTTTCTCATGAGACCTAAAAGACCAGGAAAACGGAAATTCTTTTGAATATTGTTTTGTTTATGCTCATGTTGATTCTAATCCTTCATTTATTCTGTCTTGTTTCACAATTAATAATCACTTTTGCTTGTGCTGTAAGACTAGTATGACCAAAGACAGCACCAAAAGCACCTTCTCGTTGTGTAACTTTGCCATTGGAAGTTGAAAAGAAGAAAATCATTTTTCTATGACAGCCACAGGCTAAGAAACTCAATTTTAAAACAAATAATTTAAAAGTGTACACGGTTAAGAATCACTGACGATAATAAGAAAAGATGGCAATGAAGTGAACGCAAGAGCTAGGGTGTCACAATAATTTATGATGCTGAACATACTAAATTATTTGATCAGAGAGCCATGTTAAAGTACTAAGAAGTAACCAAAGTGATTAGTGATTTATTAACGAACATAATAAGTTCATGGTGCGATGATTTCCGATACTGAAAAATCAATTCATTTCTCTCGTATTCTATATTTCTAGACAACAAAGTTGACTTCAAGATGTTGCTAACGGAAGAAACAGATCATCCTTCGACCCAAAACATCCTTCTTCATTGTCCATATCAATAATTCGACCGACCAACAGAGAGCTAGCTTATGTTTGATTATTGCCTAGTTCTGACACGTGCTTGATTTGGTAATAACTGGGGGATTTGGTAGTAAAGAGATGTGTTGTACTTGTGCAACAACTGACTGGCGCTTCTATATACCATGGAGTAATTTTGTAGATGTTAGCACAAATCAGTTAACATGCTTTAGAGCATGTTAATATAAGAGTGCTTCTTGCGCTCATATCTTGTGTAAAATTAAAACAAAATCTAATTTACATTAAATCAATCATCATGGTTGAAAAGAGAAATTGCAATACGCTGGCAGAGTATTGCAAAAATCTTTAAACTCAACATCTATGCGAAATGATTATCACGAGCCAGTCAGACTAGCCGTCTACTTTGAATATTTAATGGTTTATTTGTGCCTATGATTGCACTGTTATAATATTGAGGGATGTTATAACAGTGTCTACAAAGCAATAAAAAATTTAACTTCCGGTGATGTTCTAATGTTTGGTAAATGATTTAGCCAAAATAGCTATTTTGTATGATTGTATAGAACTATTGCAATCATAAAGATAATTCCTCGGGAGAGGAAACTGTTTCCAAATTTTCGAATCCAACTTGAGGGCTCGTCATGAATGCTCGTCTGTCCATTATGTTCAATGGAGATGATTGACTTCGTTTGAAAAATCTGACAGTAACTTTTGTGCCATAAAAGTAAACCTTTCCTGTAAATGTTTGCAGTTTACAGCTGTTTTCTGGAAATCATCGTAAAGTACCAGTTTTGATAGAAATTTCGACAGATCGTCTGCAAACACTGGTTTTTGAAAATTTATATGCTCCTACAGTTCGTCATGATTGTATTTTAACATTATTCTTACAGTTATTCATGGCACTGAACGATGAAGATTGAGACTGCGGTATGTGTTTGTTTGTCAGTTGTTTGCTTGTTTGCTTCATCATACTGCAACTTTTTCCTCAGTATTTTTCAGATGCAGAGGTCGATAAGATCAAGAATAGCAGAACAGAGATGTAAGCATGTATTTGTTTGTATCGTTCATCAAATCTTCTTTGCTTCAATTTCTTTCAGAACCACATTGCCGTAACCTGTCATTGTCAAGCAACGCTTCTTGCAGTAAGTTAAACCAATATTTATTACTTATTTTGGAGAAGATATTAAAATTTAAAGAAGGCATGTTTCGAGAAGACAAAATTTTCGACTTCCATTCTTCGGTGTTTGCAGATGATCATAAACATGCACAAAACACAAAACATGCACATAAAAGATTTTTACAATATTCTAACTAAACTAGAGAGTTCCCTCGCTCTCTAATTTAGTGAAGAATTTCAAAAGAAATTCAAGTATTCCAAAAGAGACTTCTGCCACCTATTTTGAAATAACTTGCACAAAATTTCAAGCAGCGTACACTTGATATTCTCATAGAAATTTTTTGTAATTAAAATAAGATCATACGTATGTAATATAAAATTTGACTAAATCAAAACAATTTTTCAAATGATAGCCAAGTATTCGAAACTTCGATGTAAACTAATAGAATTTGTATGAATACAATTAATAAGAACTTACTGTTTGTTCATTCTTGGAGGAAGATTGGGTGGTTGGAAATGGCATTAATTTTTTGGGAAACGGATGTTTTATATGGACCGTTTACATTCTATATAATAAGTCGTTCATGTTTTGATTGACGTTGTCAGTCAGTGAATTGTAAGTCAAGATGTATCAACTATGAAATACAACCGGAAATCCTTATATATATGTGTCTCTATGTATTGTGTTCAAGAGTAAAACAATCTTCCTTATTATATTACATTTACCATTCACTATGGTATTTGCTATCTTTAGAACTATGTATTATTTCTCTACAATGTTGTCGCTTTTACAGGAGTAAAAGCACGAAAATATTTATATGACATGAACAAACTTGCTTGATGACAACTTTGCTCAGTCAAATACTTATTATCTATCAATTACGTATTTACAGAAGTCTTGATTTGAACTACATTTATGCGTTTATTTGCTAAACCTAGTCTTCCCCAATGTTGTTTTCTTCTTATTTCAGACATCCTAATGTAATTATATTGACAACATCGAACATAACTAGAGCCATAGACGTTGCGTTCGTGGACAGGTTGAAAATATGTTTGTGACTCGAAAGTTTTTTAATTCACTTTCTCATCTAACTTCGCTATTTGTTCGCCCACAGAGCCGACATCAAACAGTATATTGGTCCGCCATCAGCCAAAGCTATTTACAAAATTTACCATTTGTTTGTATGTAACTTATGTCTTCTTGTGCACGTGATCAACGAAATGGCTGCCGGTCAATTATGTTTTCTGGCCGAAATGGCTTACCGCAACCTGTCATCATATACAATATAAAACAACAATTTGCCTCGTGAAGTATATCCCTCTTCTCAGTACTTTGTACCTTTACGTCTACTGCTTTATTTCCATACCACAATATAGTCGTTTGTGCAAGTTATACAAACATGTTGCTTAAATAGAGAGGTGTGCAGCTATATAGAAATTGATTGCAAACGATTGCATTGTAGATAATTTTTAATAATCAAAATTAATGTTCACCGTTTCATCACAGACCAGTATCATATCACCAGCCACTCAAATTTTGGATTTAAGGTACAACTGAAAAATACACGAAATTTTATTTTGACGAAAATTGACGGTGTTTGTTAGAAATTTTTGTTCACTTCTATGTTGATGACATGGTTTTCTTTTCCGATGTACAACTTTTTCCCTATTTTCCATTGTAGCTTTGTCGACAACGATGTAACACACTGTAGTCTTGAATTAAAGAAGATAGCCGAGTAAGTGAGTAGATGTTTGTAGATGTAGATCGTCGAGGTTAGTGGTGTCCTGCGAAGGACTGTTGATGTTGATGTTGACTGACTTCTTAACAACCTTAGCGGTAGTCATCTTTAGAGTCAGCATCAACAACAACAGTTCTTTTCAGGACTTTACTAACCTGGACGATCTACATCTACAAACATGTAACGATACTCCCATGTTCAAACCTTTCACTTTAAAGTAAAGTGATGTCACAGAGTAAAATAAACATTTCTTGTCTTAGTTTATGGTAAATATTATGTCACCCAGTCTTCATGTTTTCAAGTTAGTATTCTTCTCGTTTTACAAAGAAAACGAAACTACGCCCGGGGGATTTTCAGAAGTTGTCTGAACCCTGGCAGTATGTTCTAGTTTCTTTTATGAGAAGAATTCTTGTAAAGAAAAAAGACAAATTTTGAAAGGAAAAAAACCCGTTTTCGGTCCATGCTTCCCGATACCTTCTTAAGCGTAAGGCACTAAAACGCGGCATGTTAACGTTTCGGTAGCAGATTTCGGCCCCTCCACGCTATCCTACTTGGGAGATGCAATAGCAAGCTTCCGCCCATCAGACCCCGAGATCACCTGCGATAGGCTTTGCTCGGGGTACGCAGGGAGAGTGCGGTCGCCACCGAAGTGTGGACCCTAAGCCACTGCATACTATATCGCACCCAGCTTCCACTGCTAGTTGACATCTACTATATGAAGCTATAGATTTATATTTATATATACAAAATTTAGAGGCTTACGAAATTTGTGGTATTATTAAAGTCACAACTGCGCATGCCCAGATAATTTCTTTGATAATTTGCGATTAAGTGGGATAATTGCCCCAGATGTAGTGCAAGTACATCTAGTTAGTCGTTGCCATGACTATAAACAATTAGTCGAGTGGGCTGCGCATGCTCGAGCGCATGCGCAGATGATTTCTCCATTAAATTGTTACTAAACATGCTATTTACTTCAAAATCGGGGCTAGTAGATGCAATTGGTCGTTGCCATGACCATGAACATTGGCAGCCAATCAATTTAACTGCGCATGCTCAGTTGATATCTT